CCTCCTCTCTCTCTCTCTTTCTCTACCTATCTCTCTCTCTCTCTCTCTCTCTCTCTCCGGCGCGCCTCAGCGGGGCGTTTGACACGGGGAGAAGAGAGGGGCTGCGCAATGAAAAAGAATAGAGGCCCAGAGTAAGATGCAGGGGAGGAAAGTAATGAAGCTCTTTTTTCCTCACTTCTTGTCCGCCGGCCCGCAACTACTACGGGTCCGCCCAGCCCCGGGAAAAAAGGGGGAGGGAGGGGAGGATAGAGAGAGCGAGAGAGAGAGCGCACAGCAGCGGGGGCGAGACAGCAGCGGTGTTGTGGGGGCGCAACGGCCCTGGACCACCTGCCAAGACGTGTGCCAAGCAGAGGCAGCAGCAGCAGTAGCCGCCCAGGCGGCCCCCATTCGCTCGCTGGCGTAATTTCGCAGCAGACCACAATTAGAATTCCGGCCGCAGAATTTCACGTAGAGGCAGCAGCAGCAGCGGCGGGGCGCAGCGGTGGCGGCGCGGCGGGGAGCGGTGGCGGGAGAGAAGAAAAGGGTTATCTTAAGTGTCCGCCGCGCACTATCGCTGTCCCCCGGCAGTTCCGCGTCGTGCCGCAGCAGTGTCTTCTTTGACATTCTTTATGAGGCTTAAAGTTCAAGGCGCCCCGCCCCCATTCATCCGTCGCAGCGCCACTGCAGGAACTGCAGGGAGTAAACATACTTTCGTGATCGTAGAGCGCAGGTCGGCTGCAGTGACGAGCCGACAACAAATACTCTCAATGTTACTAGAGAAACACCTTGCACGACTAAGAAAGATATCCATTTGTGTGCCGCTTGAAGCTTTCAGTAGCAATAGAGTTCACACACAAGTAATACTACATAAGAGCCCGTGACGGATGTTTTGGGTGCAAAGATCGAGAAGAAACACTACTTTGATTCCATGCCAGTGAGAAGTCTGCACTGGTAAAACAAGTGTGCAAATATTGCGCTGTATATGATGTGTGTATATGATGTGTGTATATGATGATTTTGCACATTACATGGTGTTTAACTAAGTTGCACACTTAGAAGTGTACAAAATATTGAACACTAGTTATCAAAACGTAAACACAACGTCTGATGTTTGCACACCAATTGAGGTCTAGTTCATTTCGACATCATGAAGTGTTTAGTTTTTGTACACTTGATACTGCATATCATTTGGTGTGCAACTTTCTACATTTGTTTTACCAGTGTGAACTTTTTATATTGCAGATATATTTCGGAAGAGTACTATGTATAACGAATATATATCCGTATGAAAGTAGGTCACGTAGCGATGAAGACGTGGGTGTGACCTATATACACATACATTCGACAGCGTTCGACCTTCATCATCCCCAAAGCCCGGGTGCCGCCGCCACCCGCCAAAGAAGTCGGCAAAGGAAGCGAGGGCGGAGGCGTGATACAAGACGAGAGGGTAAACAAAAAAAAACAGAAGGAAAGAGCGGGAGACAGAGACGGAGAGAAAAGGACGTCTTGTTAAAATAACCTGGCGATGGGGCGGCGCAGACACGGACCGGCCCGACCGGGCTTCCTGACTGACACCCGACATGGCAGCAGCGCTGTGACCCAGGTGCCAACCCGCTGTCCCACGCGACCCTACCTTAAGCCCCCCCCC